AGGAACCTAAAAGTACTCCAAATGCTCCCCAATCTGTTCTCTTAAACAACTAGGTGGAATTATTCATATCAAGTAAGCCTGTCACTACTTCCTAATAACTGCATGCCCCACCTAAGGTAGAAGGAAGCTGTACTCCTTCCAGTCCTCACCCTGAATGCCCTCAGACAAGCATTGTTCTATCTGGGAGAAGAAGGAAGGGGAAGTTCCCAGCACTGCATTTACTAGGTTTAATACTTCCAAAGATCAAGAGAGGCAACCCAACATATTACAAAGAGTCAGGCAAGATCTCAGTTCTAATCCTGACTCAGACACTGACTGTGAGACCATGGGCAAGTTGCTTAATTACTCTGAGTACTCAGTTTACTCATCTCTAAAATAGGAACAATGACAGTCTAATTAAACCATAGGCTTATGAAGAAAGTATATTGTAATACTTAAAATGCTACACAAATGTAAGGTAGTTTCCATGGATTTAAATGGCAGAAAAATATCACTGGAGAGATAGATGACTGGAAAATAAGGTGGCTTATTTACACGTGTGTATATGTATATATATAATATTATATAATAAAGTTACTAAAGTGCACATACCCTTTGACCTAGCAATAAGATCATGAGGATTAGGCTCCAAAGAGATCAAAGAAAGAGGAAAATATCCTACAGTACAAAAATGTTTATAGCAGCCTTTTTTTGTAGTAGCAAAGAACGGGACGCTAAGTTGGGGGGGGGTGCTCCTCAAATGGGAAATAGCTGAATAAATATGATATCGTGCTATAGGAAATGAAGAAAGATTTCAGAGAAACCCAGGAAAACTTAAATGAACTAATACAAATGAAGTGAGAAGAACCAGGAGAATAAATCTATCCTTTTGTCCTCTCCTCCCGCCATGCTGTTCCCCGCCCCGCCCCCAACCCTTCACACACAAACAAATTTTCCTTAGAGCTTAGATTTAGCTCACATTTAGAGCTTCTCCAAAAGGGTAAGCTAAAAAGGTACTCAATGTACAATATGAATCAAATAGGAGAGAGTAATTTATTCCCTATTATGCACAAAAGGAACGCTAAACAAAAGGATAGCCACAAGCACACATTTGACAAAAATAAACAATACGGGACTTGCTCAGCAACTTAACCTGCGATTATTGTTAGAACACACTGAGAGACTGATAACTTAATCCATCAGAACAGAAAGCAGTTTGCAGTACTGCTGATGCCACTTTACAGCTCAGCTCAACATTGTCTGAACAACTCCAGGCCCAGGTCTGCTGGTAAAAAGGCCCAGCCTCTTCTGGTTCCTAGACACCCTCTCCGGTGAAGCAACTCCCCTAAACACTAGTCAGTTTTACTCAATGGACCCAGGATTGCTGGTCCTCTCAAATTCAGAAAGTCACTTCCAAATCTGGACACATACATCTAGGGAGAGATAGTCATTCACCTAAGATCAGGAAAGAATGAACACAAAAGAAGGAAAAGCCAACAGGGATGCAGGCACAAGCTTGTCTAGTCGATTCCCTTTGAACTGGCTACCATGTGGGCATGGTTGTCATGCTGCCATGATGCTGGCGTGGAGAAGGCCATCCCCTCCCCTCACTGGAAGTCTTAGAGTTAGGTGATGATACCTAGGGTGCTGAAGGAAAGAGAGCAGGCAACAAACTAGCACTTAAAATCAGGACTGTTTTCCTCCTCCTCCCCAAAGTTACAAGGCATAAAGCACACTTAAGGTCAAACCTTCCCTCAGCTACTTACTAATTGTGTGTCACTTAACCTCTTCCAAGCTCAGTTTTCTTATTTATAAAATGAAGGTGTTAGCCAGGATGGTCTCTAAAGCACCTCCCAGCCCTAAATCTATGATTCTATGACCTCTCCAGACAGGAGTTCTTAATCTTTTTAGTTTCCTGGATCCTTTGGCCCTCTGGTGATGGACTAGGGACCCCTTTCGATGTAGTCACAATCACGTTAAAATAAAACACATAGGACTACACGGGAAACCAATTATATTACAATACATTTGCAATCAACTGTGAAAGACTTAGCTACTCTGATCAAGACAATGATCCAAGACAATTCCAAAGGACCCATGATGAAAAGTGGTCTCCACCTCCAAAAACAACTGATGAAAACGAGCGTAGATTAAAGCCCATTTTTTCACTTTCTTATTTTTCATTTGTGTGTGTGTTTTCTTTCACAACATGGATAATATGGAAATATGTTTTGCATGACTTCCCATGTATCATACTGCTTGCCTTCTCAAGGGATGGGGGAAGGGCCAGAGGGAAGGAGAGAATTTGAAACTCAAAATTTTTAAAAATGAATGTTAAAAAAATTTTAAAGGTCATTGGGAAATATTTAACAAAATAATTAATATGTTTAAAATACATTTCTCAAAATACATATTTAAAAAACAAGTTCACAGATCCCAGGTTAAGAATCCCAGGTTTGTCGTTTACCCTGTCATACTAAAATGCCAGATAACCCTAGTTCTTCATCACCTATTTAAACAAATGTTGACTAGATTAGTTTTGATTGCAAAACTTATCCCAGCCTCACCATGCTCTCCATCACTGCAGCCATTCCAGAAAAACATGTATCCAGCTCCACTTTGGTAAGCTGCCCTTCATTTGCCAGCCTTGTTTTGCTCAGGGCTCCTATTTGGATGCAATACCTGCTGAGTTCTCTCGCAAGGAGAGCCGTTTGTCTTTCGGGTCTATTGGATTTCTTGTTATCCATAAGCGTGAGCACATTAAATGTTCGGATGGTGAGTGGAATCATCTTCCCAAAAGTTTTTTGTACATTTTTTGTGTTTTGACCAGAGTGGTGACCCCACCTGCCATGGTAAAAAGACCAGGTTTGGTTGAAACAGATCATTTTTAGGGCATCTTTTGTAGTCCCTTCCTCCTGCCCATAGGTGAGTAGTGTGGTCCTTAAAAACACTGCTCAGATACCTGGGAGACTGCCAAATCCCACTGTTGCTTCGGGGTAGTGAGAAAACGACCGACCCTAAGGCCTGGGTCGCCTGTGTGCAGGGTTGTAACTACAACTCCCAGTGTATCCACACCTGCTGCTTCATCACTTGCCTGTCACCATAGGACTTTGAAGTAGAAAAAAAATGGTAAAATGGTATGGGTGACATCTTTTGTCCTGGGCATAAATTGGATTTAAATGAGGTAGAGGTGTGTGAAGTCACTGGCCTCACTCTCTCTCTTCCAGAGTCATAAAAGTCCACTGGCAAGACAAAAATCAAGACAATTGGTGATGGTCTGGGGTATAGTGGATGACCCTGACATCTTTGATGTCTAACCAAGCTCTAAGTGCTCTGAAGCACCTTTTTCAGCCACCTTCATGAAAGTTGGAACAAATCGTTCTCATCTACCCATTCTGCTGGGGGAAAGTCTTAACATGCCCGGAATAGACATCCACCTAACTCCCCAACGGAATTTGAGACCCTCTCAACTTGGTTTAGCCTGCCTGCTGAAACAGTTCACCAGGGTATGGTCAGTGTTCATACTATATCTTGAAGCCACAGGTGGCTGGAGGAATCAGGTAGACACCAAAGGTGGAAAGCAGTTCTCAAAATGGCTCAGCAGCCCTCACACCAGAGGTACTAGTTTTCCCTGGACATGCCTACACTCTGCTGCTTGTGATAATTTTGGCCTAACAACTAACACCGAGAAAACAGAGGTTCTCCACCAGCCAGCACCACGCCATCCCCACATGGAATTCATTGGTTGTAGCAAATGGAGAAACGCTGAATGCTGTGGACAAGTTCACTTACCTTGACAGTATACTTTCCAGGGGTGTATATACAGATGATGAAGTTGATGCACACATTGCCAAAGCTAATTCAGTGTCTGGGAGGCTCAGAAGGAAATATGAAAGAGGAGAGGTATTAGACTGCCTACCAACTGAAGGTCTACAGAGCTGTTTTGCTGACCTCATTATTGGATACCTATGAAACCTGTACAGTACACCAGTGCCATGCCAGGAAACGGAATTGCTTCCATTTGAATTGTCTTAGAGAGATTTTGAAGATCACCTGGCAAAATAAGGTACCACATACAGAGGTCCTTTCTCAAACTGAACTGCCAAGCATTCAAACTCCTTTGCAGATGGGCTGGTCACATGGTTTGAATACCAAACATACACCTGCCTAAAAAACTATTTTATGGAGAACTCACACAAGGTAAGCACTCGCTAGAAGATCCGAAGAAGCTATACAAGGACAGTCTCAGGGTCTCTCTGCAGAACTCTAGAAACAATTATGAGACTTGGGAGACACTGGAACAGAATCATCCAGCACGGTATGCCTACATCAAAGAAGGCACTGTGCTCCATGACCAAAGCAGAATTGCAGTAGTTTAAAAAACCGTGAGGGACATCTCTGCCCCAAATGTCCATATGGACTATTTGTGCTTGACTCGTGGTAGAAGAGCCTTCCAAGTCCTTATTGGTCTAATCAGCCACCAGGACACACTGTAACTTGACCCCAACACAGTGATGTCATTTTGGTCCTCTTGGAGAAGGAAGGACAACAACAACAACAACACAAATAAGTGCTGTCACACACGTCCTTGTAGTCCACAGAACTTTCCAGGGGGTAATTAGGACACAGTCTTGCGTTTGCCCTTACAGACCAATTCAACCTCCAGTACATTTTTGCCTTTTAGCACAGTGGCTGGTACAAAGGAGGCCCTCGGTCAAGTGGAATTGAAGTGAATTGAACTGAATTGAGTTAAAGTTTGTCTAGCCACTTTCATTGGCTAAGTCGGCCCCTCTTCCCCACGACGGGTACCTCCACTTCGGCTCCTCCCTTCTCCCACCTCCTTCCTCCGCCCACGTTCTGGTCCCCCCCCCGCCCCCGCCACCCCGCAATGCCCGACGGGAACGGTAGTTTTCCCTCGGGAGCCTCCGCCGCCTGCCTCCAGACTTCCGGAACTACGCTTCCCAGGGAGCCCCGCGGCTGCTACCCAGAAAGCGGTCACCTGACTCAGCCTCGGAGGCGCGATGGCGGCGCCCATACTGCGGTGCGCCCGTGCTGGACGGTGTTGGTCCCTCGGCTCCCGGCCCCGCCGCACGAGAGCGCTTTTCGCCGAGCCCGTGCCGGGCCGGGTGAGAGAGCAGAGCTCCGCAGCGTTACAGGAGCCGAGGCCGGGGTACAAAAGCCGCGCTGCCCGGACGCTAGGGCCGGGGGAGGTGGAAAGGGCTGGCGGGGGGCGGAGGGCACCGCCGCGTTATTCCACCCCCGGGGTACCCGGTCCCGAGGCCCCTGGCCGGCCTCGGGAAACGGTGCGGCTTTGGAAGCGGGAATCCCCAGCGGGTTCTAGAAGCTCCTGTTCTGGAGACGAGTCCCGAGTGGGGTGGGCGCGGGAATGGGAAGGAGGCGGGGTCAGTTTTACATCTCTTAACCCTGTAGTAGCCAACTGAGAAAAGGTGGAGGTCACACTGGATCGGGAGCCCCAGGGATCCCAAAACCTAGAGCTGGAGGGGAACTACTGAGGACCTAAGAACACGGGCGACTTTGTCCAAGGGCATGGTAGCAGTGAGCGACATAGCCGAGAGACCCGAGCTCGTAGATTTAGGGTTGGATCTGGAAGAAAGCTTAGAAATAAATCTAATTCAACTATATCCAGAGATGTTACCAGAGAGATACAGTGGAAATAATGCTGAGTCTGCAGACTGGGTTCTAATCCTGTCCTACCTCAGTTTCCTTCTCTGTCAAATAAGGGAGTTGTTCAGACTAGTCAGTCCACAAGCATTTGTTATTCACCTACTATGTGCCAGGCACTATGCCCTTCTCTATGCCTCAGTTTCCTCACATGTCAAGTGAGGGATTGGCCAGACTAGGCAAATCAATCTACAAGGGCTTGTTATTCACCTACTATGTGTCAAGCACCAAACTTTCCTTTCTCTGTGCCTCAGTTTCCTCATCTGCCAAATGAGGATGTTGGTCAGACTAGGTAAGTCAATCCACAAACATTTGTTATTCACCTACTATGGGCCAGGCACTGTGCTAGGCTCTAAGTATGCAAGGGTCACTTGCACCTCTGAAAGTAGGAGCTTAGCTGAAGTGACTTAACCCCAGACTTGAGCAGGTAACAAGCAGAGCTAGGATTTAAAACCAGGTCCTTTGATTCCAAACCCAGTATTCTTTCTGCTACACCATGGTACATCTTTCACAATCAGATAATTGACTGTACACCTACTATGTGCCAGTCACTGTATTGGTGTTGTGTGGGAGATAAAAAGTAGTATAAAACTTAGTCTCAGACTTCAAGTAGTTTACAGGCTTTGGGAAGACTAAGATTTAATAATAATTGAATAACTCTGTCATTAGGTTATTTATGTGTATATACATATATATGTTAGTGACCAAATGAATTATTCTGAAAATTATTCTATAGAAGTTAAGAGCAGAGAAGCATTTGGACACAGGTAATGAAGGTTTTGTGGAAGAGGTTGGATTATCGTTGCACTTAGTATCTTGGTGATTATGTGCAAGTTATTTTATCCTCTCTGAGCCATGGTTTCCTCATCTATAAAATGAGAAGATTAGACTAGACCAGAGATTCCCAACTTGTGGGCCTCAGGCCAGGGGTCAAGGAATCTATAAATGAATCCCAAGATAAGTAAAAAAAAAACCTAATGTAAACTGAGTAATGTCCCAAATACTAATATCATTATTTTTCAAATTTACATAGATGCTATCATGATGAATAAACCAGATACATTTTAAAGCATTGTTAAATTAATAGTAGTTATTTTTTTTATCTTAGCAGATATCAGTAGTACAACTACCTTCCTATGTGGGGCTCTGAATTTTTTTCTTATATTAAAAAGTGGGGGAAGGGAACTCAGAGTTGGAAAAAAAATTAAGAACTGCTAGATCATAGAATCAAAGATTCATAACTGGAAGTGACCTGGGAGGTGGGTCCTCTGTTCCAGTTTTTTCAGATAAAGTAACTGCGGTCCAGACAGATTAAGTGTCTTGCCTAAAGTGATCCAGGTAGTAAGTGGCAAAGCCAGAAGTAGAGCCCCCTGACTTCAAACCCAACATACATTCTATTGCACCATACTAGACCCCTAAGGTCTCTTATGGCTGTGTATCCTATGACCATTTGAAGTCTTACTGGGAAGATCGTTTTGACTACAAATTTTGAGCATGAGCTTCTTGTGAAAGGAGACTTTTGTATCCCTGATACTAGAGCTTAGTGCTTTGTACGATATTTTGGAGACCAGACTGATAGAGGGAACTCCTAGTGGGGAAATTCCCTTTACCAATGCAGTAAATCTGCATTGGAAGTTGCTCTGCAACTTACAGTGTTAAAGGGTTGCCTGAGGAACTGAAAGATTACTTTATTTACTACTAGCTCATTGAAGACAGGGACTGTTTCTTGTTTATCTTTATATCCCTATGGTTCATTAAAACAGTAAGCCATAGTAAGAGTTTGTTGAACTGAATTCATTATCTTATTTGTCCCTTTGGGGTCACAAAACCTGAATTTGTGTCTCTCCTGCTCTTTATTAGAGCTGTAACCTTGATTAAATAATTTAATCTCTCCGGACCTCAGTTTCCACTTCTGCAAAGTAGAAGTTAGAATAACTTCTTTGCATCCTTCACTAAGTTGTTTTGAGGATCAAATGACAAATGCATGTAGATGCTTTGTGAACTATTAAAGTTGTTAAATTTCTACCTGAGCTTTCCAAATGGAAGAACTGAATCATCATGTTCTGGGAAGATAGAATTAGACACAGACTTTCAGTTTCTGTTCTTTTCTTAAATGGTGATAACTCATTGGAAGTGAAAAGTACATTTGCTTTTCTCTGGGGTGATGAAATTGTTCAAAAGACAAGGAGGATGTTACAGTGAACATGGAAATTTCTGACCAGTCAACTGTAATTTCTCATATACCTATTAGCTGTGCAGCTCAATCTAAAAATAGTTTAAAAATTTTAGACTCGTACGATCATGAGATTTAGAACGGGAAGGGACCTTACAGATCTTCTAGTTCAACTCTTTCGTTGTGTAGATAATCAGACTGGCTGAAGAAATGAAGTGACTTACCCAGAATCCCACTGGTACATATAAATTAATTGTATACGAAAATCTAGATAATTCACTAAGATACATTAGAGGAAGAAAAAAAAGACTAGAAAGGCCCTGACAGTACCGAGAGATTTTGTAAGATGACACCCTGGAACTTTTCCAGTATGCCTCGGATTCCGAGGTGATGAATATTGGACGAGAGATAAAAGTGTCCCAGATAAGGAAGGTTGTTGGGATGTTTAAATTTTGATACCAATGAGATTTGAAAAGATAACCCTGAGAACATCTAATTAGATTTCAGCAAAGGAAAATATTTCAGTAGAAATGGATACATCGTATTCTATGTGTCAGAACAGCTAGCCTGGCATAATGGAGACTGGTCTTGGAGTTAAGAAGATTAGATCCCATCTTTGCCACTTACTAACTGTGACCCTGAACAAATCATGTAACCTCTGTGCACTTCTGATAACTCACTAGGACTTATCTACTAGGATGAACCGTGAAAGAGTTCCCTTAAAGAGAGCTCCCCACACTGATGAAATCACCAATTATTCCTATGTTCTATAGGGACCTTGATTTCAGAGTAAATTGTTATGCATTCCATTCCATTTAGCAGTTATGTTTAAAAGATTTATAAAGGTGAATCTATAAAACGATCAAGAATTACCTTTCTTTTTCATGAGATCTGGCACAATTTTTAATTTTTCCTGTATTACTGGGGTCCTGATGGTTATGTTAGTTCTAAGTATTGTTCCCTAGGTCCACCTTCCTCAGTTTACAAATGATTAGTTGATAGTGGGCAGTTAATTTAGAAAATGCTTCTTTCTTCCTGACTGAAGAGTCAGCCAAGCAGCGGACATCTAGAATCCATTTCTGAATTGCTTTAGGATGCCAAATTGTTCTTTTCCCCGTCACCTTCCTGTTTGTACAGTGGGCCTTTCCCTAATGGTAAGTAATAAAATAATTTTATTCCCCCAGTCCTGTTGTAAGATATTCATTATAGATTAATTTTGATTTAGTCACCAGTAAAATAGAATACAGTTTTATATGCAGGGATATAAAATTTTACCAAGTTAAAATACAAGTAGGAAATTAATGTTCTGGTGGTCTCAGATGTTTCTGCACAGTGGGAAATCTACTTATTACTATTTCTTTGTTTTTTCTTTAGTGCACATGAGTGGGCAGCTGTGGTGGGCCTGGAAATTCATGCCCAGATCTCTTCCAATTCAAAACTTTTCTCCGGATCTCAAGTTAGCTTTTTAGCGCCCCCTAATTCGTCGGTGTCTTTTTTTGATGCTTCCCTCCCTGGAACATTGCCAGTAAGTAATTTATTTTATCCTAATGGCCACGAACAAATTGTAAATGTTTGAGTCTGTTATTCTGAGCATTTAAGACTTTTCTTATATTTGTGGAATGGAGAGTCAGTAATCATTCTAGTTATTTAAAATTGAGATGATGCCAGTTACAAAAAGAAAGACAGTTCCCTTCTGGCATTTGTAATCACTCAAAATTATTTACTTGCTTTGGGTTTGAATAAAACTCATAGTGTCCCATGACTTAGGGCTGGAAGTTTATGCAGTCCAAATCTTTTATTTCATAGCTGAGAAAACTAAAGTGTAGAGAACTAAAGTGGCCTGTCCAAGGACATGTAGTTAATGAAGGATTGTTAACCGGACTGAACCAACCTCTAACCTGTGGATGAGCAGAGCTGAATGGAGCAGGCTAGAGACAGGAGAGGAATCAAACAGAAGTTTAATTTCCAAGTGAGGAAAATAGCTTGCAGGTGAAGCCCTCCTTCCTAAGAAAGGGGGCTCACCCACTTATGGCAGGGGTAGGGTTTTTAAGTGTTAAACCACAAACAGCTTGACCACAACTCAGGCATTCTTGGGTCTTGTGTGAACAGTCTCCAAGCCATTAGGGTCGTTGAGCCTTGTGATTGTTCAGCAGGGCACAGAGCTAGGGTTAGTATGGTCAGGAGTAGAAGCGAGGTACCTGGTTCGGTTTGCTTGGTGGTTACAAGCACAGGGATTATTAGCATGACAGGGGATCTGATTGATCACTTTGGCTGCAACCTCAGCTTCCAAGTCAGGGTCCCCTGGAAAGTAGAGAAGCTCTAACAAATCTAAATAGTATAATCATTATACATATCAGATCAATTAATATGAAAATTATAGATCTCACTACAACAGGATAGAGATTTGAGGAGAGAAACAACAGTGTTTTGTTTAGCAGCCGTCATCCAGTGTATGCTTTAACAGCTGTGCAAGTTGGCACAAGCCCAGACCTCAGAGAAATCTGTCTGGGTTAAAAAAAAATTCAGACAGAGGATAAGTAAATAATAATAAAAGTAGAAAATAGAATCCATTGCACTTGTTTTATATGTCTTCATAGAATTGCTGCTCCATGATATGACATCCATTATCAGTCTAACATTTGAATCAACCAAGAAAACTATGACAGATGTAAATTTTTCCAAGAGACTGGTCTAACGTGTCCAGCCACAGAAGTGTATCGATGTGTATTTTATTGGTAATAAGCCAAGTTTTAAAGAAAAGAGGGATAGAATCAGATGATTAGTATCAAGGTAAGTGGTTTGTTTAAATAAATCCAAAACCCACCAGACCCAACAGGTTTTCTGGGCCATCCCTAGAAGTGTATGGAACCCAGGGCAGATCTCACTGGCTACCATTTGATATACAACTCAATACCTTCACTTAGGAAAAATATGATTAAAATGGACATTGAGAGTAGCAACTGACACAAGGCAGTAACCTGAGTGTTATAGATAAAGTGATAAGGAGAATCCTACCCATTTTTGCCTTGTGGATGATGGAGTAGAAGGGCAGTTAAGTATGATCTTGGAGCTGAGTATATGTCTACCAGCCTCAGCTGTCCTCTCCTGGCTGTCTGCTTCAGTCGTTGCCTAGCTGCTAATAGCTCAAGGTGACACCCCAGGGTCAGCTCTGGAGATTCAGGATGAATGTGAATTGGTGTTCCTGTGTTCTTGACCCATTTCCATCCCTTCCACACCTCCACTCCTCCACCCCCAAACACATACACAATAATATTGTCTCTCTGTTCTTTAAAACTTGGCTCATTTCCACGAAACACTTCTCAGTACAGCCTTGTGAATGGATACTTTGGACCAATCTCTGCAAGGGAGTGACAGGGGCAGGGAAGGAGGGAGGATTATTCTCCCCTCACTTCTCCCATTTTCTAAACAGAAGAACTAGTTCCAATTTGGGCAGAGATTTGTTTATCCTCCTTTCTCTGAAGTCAGAGCCAAGAATCTTAATGGTTTGAATAGCCCTAAGCTTTTCTCATTCAGTCAGGGCTGATCTGCCTCTTTACAGATAGATGCACCTGTATGAAAGTGAACAAGTTTCCACATGTGAGCTGTTAACAGTCATTACAGCGTTCTGTCAGAACAAAACAATTTCAGTCCCATGATGTTTATCATAATAGACTTTTTTTCATGCTTGATTTAAAAGATATTGGTGATATTTTGATAACTGTAAGATACCATGTATCATCTGACCTTATGGTCAGCTGTAGAGTGAAACTCCTTTTTGGGACAAGAATGACCCTAAAATCAGATTATGAATTGTGTGTGTGTGTGTGTGTGTGTGTGTGTGTGTGTGTACATGCACATGTGCACATGATGGGACAAAAAGGCCACAAGTTATCTAGGGTTATGCACATAAATTGTCATTACCATTCAAAGTACTGTTCAGTCTCTAAGAACATTCCTTGAACATTATTTATTGGGCTAGGAACTAGGACTATAAAAAGATATTTTATTGCCATGAAACTAAAGTGATCATCATGGTAGAGTAGAAATGATACCAGATGGGGAGCCAAGAGACTGACAGTAATTAGGTCATGTGACTCATTGTAAGTCATTTAACCATTCATTTAAAAAAAAAAGCTCATTTTTTATGTCTTTTGTTTTAATTTCAGTCATTTCTGGAAATCTTGCCTACATAGACTGCATGCCCAAACTGAACCCTCAGTTATAACAAAGTTTAACTTTAGTTTAACAAACCAGTTGAGCCAAAATGTCCAGTCTAGTGACCACACTAGTCATGGCGGTCATTTGTGTAGATTGTTCTTCTGATTCTCCTTATTTCATTCTCTGTCAGTTCACACACATCTTCCCATATTTCTCTGAATTCCTGATTTTCATCATTTCTTCCCAGGACAGGAAGATTCCATTTCATTCATATACCACAATTTGTCCAGTTTTTCTCCTATTAATGGGCCCTCACTTTGCTTCCCTTTTTTTTTTTTTTTTTTTTGCTACTACGAGTTCAGCAGACATTCACACCTGAGCCTTATTTTCCTTTTTTTGTGAAGTGAGAGTAGTTGGACTAGAGAGGGTTCTTAACCTGGGATTTGTGAACTTTTTTTTTAAATAGTTTGGTAATTGTACTTCATGATCACTGGTTATTTTTTTTTTAATTTACTATAACAAATATTCTAATGTCATTTTTATTTGCTTACTAATGTCACATTTACTCTCATGCCATAAGTTTTTGGTTTTTTTAATTTCTTTTGGGATATCTTTTGCTTTTGAGCAACCTTCTCTTCTAGCTTAGCAACAATTTTTTCCTTTTCAGTAAGTACCACCTCAACATGGCAAGGGGAACTCGTGGGTGGGTTGATTTGATTGTGAGCCCTGTAAGTATGCCTTTACATTTTGAGAGTCTCGTTAACCTAAATAAGCTCAACGATAAGAGAACCCTTAAGTTCCCTTAAGTTCTACGTTACTCTGCATTTTTGATCATATATATTAAGTATTCAGCAACATTTTTGGACCAGTGACTATATGTAGCCCTGCTGCTTGCCGTGGGCTCATCTGCCACCTCTTCCAGATATTTGGTGTCTTTTGGGGTATGCTTCTCCTTAATAGCTAGAAAAGTTTCATAGGTGTCCTTAAAATGGACTTAAGAGATTTGAACCCCTTGACTTACATGATTTTATGTAGTTCACTGGATCAAATGAGTACCTACTATTTTAAATGATTACATAGGATGGCTCAAAGAAAGAGGAAGACTATTGGTTTCTTAAAAACATTCTGAGAATGAGTCCATAGATTTCAACTACCAAAGATGTTCACGATGCAAAAAATGGTTAGGAACTCTTCAACTAGATGGTCTCAAAAGTTTCTTACAGCTTTAAAGTCCTGATTATAATTTAACTGTCTAGAGAATTAGTATAATTATTTAAGTCATTGGAGTAAGAAAGGAAATGAGGTAGACTGTTTGAGGCATAGATGAGAGGACCTTCTCCCTTCGAAGTTCTACTCTGCAATTTATCTTCTGTGGCCTGACATCCTGAAACTTATCCTTGTTTTCTCTAAGGAGATATTCTCTTTCTCTCTCTCTCTCTCTCTCTCTCTCTCTCTCTCTCTCTCTCTCTCTCTCTCTCTCTCTCAGAATGATCAATGTTTGTGAATATTGGAAAGATGTTAGGGGTCATAGTGAATCACAAGCTGAACAAGAAAGTCGTCACTGTAGAACTTTAGACTTCGCAAGGGACCTTAGAGATCATTTACAGGTGAAGAATTTATATCTAATCCACTTGTTCAGGCACTGAGCATTGTATTAGGAAAGATAGAAAATGGTAACCTTAAAGGAGACCTTGGTAGAATACAATATGTATGGCCTTTCATTGGTCCATCCTCACTCTTCTACCTGCTCCCCCCTCCACGAAGCCTTGTGACCAACCAATAGTTTGCATTTTTAAGAAGGCTGGAGCAGGTTAGGAATGCAGGGCGCAGCTCTGAACAAAGCAGAAGTACGTGGGATGAGACCCATAATCTTGGTTTCATTAGCACTGATCAGCTGAGCTAACCTACAAGCGGAGTCCTGCTAACGTGACAATTTAATCATGTTGGGTCCCCATGCCTAAAGAGGAACATAGAGATTTTTATTTTAGCTTAGATAAGAAGAGACTTCTGCGGGCTGGGATTCTGAACAGATATGAAATCTTTGGCATCTCTTGCTGTGGAGCTCAATGCTTGACTGAGATCAAGTGTGGGCAGTCTTTGTCCTGGGGTGTCCTCTATTTAATTTCATCCAGTCTTCAGGTCAGGTCCCTAGAAGTGATCTCATTCCTAGCTGTAGCTGCACAAACCACATGGCATTGAAATTGATGTCATCCTAAAAGGCCCCAAGATCTGTTAGCGAAAAGGCAGTGTGCCTTGCTGTGCACACAAGATAGTCATGAGATGAGGGTGGACCCCAGCCTGTGTCTGGGCATCCATCTCCGTGTCTGTGTCTGTCTTTTCTGTTTCTTTCTGGGTGGATCTTTGTCT